TGTGTCTTTGAGTTGAAGCATACACAAGCTTCAATTTTTTCTGTTCTTTTTATCTAACTCTGTCCTCAACTCTGAATCCTTTCTTTACAATACTGAACACACACAGTGGGACACACACACAGTGCAGCAAAGGTAGCAGGGATGATTTTTTTTATTGTTATGATGTGGTCTATAAAACATGACAACACATCATTAGGTTGCCTGAAGGGGAAAGAAGGATGTTTGGGAATGTTTCAGCATGTGAACGCATCTGTCGACACAGAAACAGAACATTAACTTGGATGAACACATATAAACAAGGAGTTAATAGCCAAGAGGTGAAGCTGTGAGATCATAATTATGCCTCTCTGTGCGTAGTGTTGGTAAACACACACAGCGACAGGGCATGTGGGCACTAAGCCTAAGACAAAACAAATTATTTAAGGATTCAACTTTTGCATAAAAATGGACTTAATTTTAAAAGCTTTGATGTTAAGGAATCTCAGCCTTTTTTGTAAAGCTTATTCAGATACATAGATTTTTTTGGTTCTTGGTTGATGACTTCCCTTTGACTTGCCTTTTCTTTGTGTGATGACCTGTTGGAGACAGTAATCCATAATTCTGTGGTTAGAAAGTGGTCAGATGTTTGCAGTCTGTATCTCTGCTGTAATTGAATTGTGTCAGGACAGTCTACATTTAATATCTTCTGCTTCTTTAAGTTGTGGTTGCATGTTAAGAAAATTAATTAATCATGAAAATGATTTAAGTTGACTTAATTAATGTTGATGTTGAATTATTTACTGGAATAAAAAAAGAGTAAATCTGGCTTCTCGCCCAGCAGCAGCTGACGGCAGAGCTAATCTCTGAATTGTAGCTGAATCTTTAATAACTCCAGGAAGCTTAACCCAAGGATTCTCTTGTAGGCGATCGAGAACATTCAGAGTTGATGAGTGGATTTGATATTTAAGCCAGAGTATAATGGCATGTCACGCAGATGACTGGATGAAAAACTTGGCAAACTGGTCTCCTAGTTGTAATAAAGTACACACGTGTTGTCATCCAAATACTGAGAGAGCGACACGCAATAAAAAGGCTAAGCTTCCGAGGAAGAAACGATAAAGGTAAAATGTTTGAAGAACTTACTGGGATGCATTCCCTTTGAATGATGCAAACGTTCTTTAGCACGCTTACGCACATTAACTGAATCATTCTGTAATCCTACATATCTGTGCTGGGGTGTTCTTCTACATGACAGCTGCGTGTGTGTGTGTGCGTGTGTGTTCAAAAGAACAAGAGAGCACACACACAGGGGCCCTCCCATGCCACACAGTGAGACTGGATCTTTGGAGTCAGTGATGGGGATTACGTGGAATATAATTTCATATGGCCACAGAATGGTTAATCTCCTTAAGCCCAGCCGGAGTCTGCACACCCATTCATGCAACGGCCTAGTAATGGTGGCAGCAGGAGAAGGTGAACGGTAGGAAACTGTGTGTCTACAGTTGTCTTACCTGTTGGTTTGTTGGAAATAGGAGTGGAGACCTGCAATTATGGATATCAGTAATTGTATGTTACTTTAGACTGTGTTAAATGTTGACGTTTGAGCTTCCTTTCTAATACAAATGAAACCCTCTGGATACATTCTGGCTACACCGGTATTTATTTAGCTCTGCTGTTGTTGGCTGGAGTTTGTCCCGGTCCCACACAGCGAGGTTTGTGTTGCTTTGCAGATTAAAAAATGGAAACCAAATTTTTATGCAGCCAGAAAACAAGCCCATTTCAAACCTTGTGGTTGAGAGGTGTGTTGTCCAAAGTTATTTGAGCAACTGTTGCTGACAAGGGAAATGGTCAGAATTTTAATGTTCACTTTGTGTGTGTCTGGAGGCTGCTGCCAATGAGCATCCTGGTGTATTGACTCAGCTGTGTGTTGGACGGAAACTGAACGAGTGAGCGTGAGTGAGACAGGCTGTTACCATTATAGGTCTTTGATTAGGCGTGTTCTTTTGTAAAGGTACGTTTTGTTATTTTCTTTTTTAATATAACAAAAGTTTTCAGATGCCCAGTAAGCGATGCAACAAAGCATTTCTGGAGCAGGAACTGCTACCTCTTAACATGTTTTTAAGACATGAAAAAATAGGCAACATGCTCCCGCTGTTGCCTATACCTCTGTTGAAAAATGGAGACAACTTAATCTGTTAGGAGTTTGTGGGAGTTGTTTATCCATACCACATGATGTGATATGAAAATATTGAGTCTGTAGTGATAAATCTGAGTCTAAAGAAAAGAATTTAGACAATCAGTAAGGGATGTGCCATGAATTTAAAGCATCACGGGACACACAGATGACCCCAGATCTGTCATCCTACATCATTTTTACTACAGTGTGCTAAAGATAAATGGCTATTTTTTTTACAAAGTTAGTGATTTATGCAGGTTAAAATGTCATAGCTTTGACAATAAAAAATAAAACTCTGCTATGTTAATCCGACTCCATTTGCTGGCCTGTTATGATAACTAATAATAATTTGCTTGGACCATTTTCCCCATAAATTGTTGAAATAAATAATTTAGTTATTTCATGACCATAAGGCTGCTTTAGTCACGTGGTACGTCCCAACTGAAGCCATTAGTACGGATAGTTTCTGACTGGAGGACCCAACGGTCTCACAGTTGTGTATCAGGTGACTTATTGTGCACCTGTCAGTGTTGTCATCCCAGCAGAAGTTGTTGTGCGGTAGTATCAGTTGTGATGGACTCACCACCTGTTGTGAGGGATCTGGTTCTTAGCTCAGAGGGATATTTCCCATCTTATGGGAATGAGTTTCAAGTTGCCCTGTATCTACTGTACAGTAGGGTGTCACTATATTCTAACTCGAGTTCTGTTTGCTGTGCAGGTTGCAGCTTGTTTTTGTTTTTTGTAGATAAGATAAAGAAAAAGTTTGTTTTTTTTCTAATCAAGGGAACGGAAATAATTAAGGCAGTTAATGGATTTGTTAGGCTTCAAAGGAAAATCCTCACACTCCTTTATTTATCTTTTAACACTGTCTGCCCGACTGTCTCCTCTGATCCTTAACTTTGTCTATCTCCTACACACACATGCACACTAACACACAAACACACATCCCTCCTTCGTTTGATCCGTTAGCCTCAGTGGGGCCCGAGGCAGCTAACAAGGCGGCATCACATAAAAGCCCCCCCCCCCCTGCACCCCTTCTTCAGTGCAACACCATGAGCTCCAACAGTGTGCCCCTACTGTCTGCAGGAACAGAATGCTCTGGATCAGCTGCCTCCCCTCCTGCATGGGCCTCCCCACCACCCCACTCTGAACCTCCAGGGACCGTTGGAAAAAACTTGGTATTGAGGCTCAAAGAATCCTGAATGGAGCCGGGGTGGTGAGGCAGGTTAATGAGCCCGATGAGAACTCTTGGCCTTGAGGGGGAGCAGTTCTCTCTACCCATGGGACCCTGGAAGTCTGGAGATAGACTGACGGTCTTTGTTGTGGGAAAACTGAGGGAGTGATGAGTGGTCTAGATGAAAATGTCAGATCCCCCAGGGCTGGGAGGAAAAGGGAAATCCATCAATCTTTCTCTTTTATCAATCATTTATGTATAAGTCTGGTCTTTGTTCACCATCCTGCAGTTTTATGAGGCATATTGCAGTTTTGTTTGCCGTATCTTATCTCCTCACTGTCTCTAATTCTATCTGTTCTACTAAGCTGCTTCTGTTATGTAACCTAAGTACAAGCCCATCACTTCCCGCAGAAGCCGACGTGGGTGCATAAAAACTGGAATCTTGGGCGTGGCCAGGCGTCCATGTGTCACACCTGTCCACATCAAAAGAAAAAAGTGATATGATTAAGAGCTCCGTTGTTAAAACACAAAATACATTTCCTCCAATGTCAAGCTCTTGGCCTTTTGTTCATTTTCTATGATTCAGCTTCTAAACCTGTCAGTCCAAAACCGGGTGTTAAACAAACCTCTGTATCCTTGTCTTCAGCACTTCCTCTTCCTCTCTCCTTTTTTCTCATTTATTACATCTTTTCTCTGAGCGGCTCTTGGACTGATAGCTGTGCCATTCAGGCAGACGAGTCATTCAAGGGAGCTCCCAACAGAGAAAAATAGATGCTAATTCCCTCTGGCATGCCAGCACAGTAACACCCTTGAAATCACACACTCGCACACAGACAGACATTCTTGGTCTATCTTGAGCTGTCTAAGCATGCTGGCTAAGATGCTATGTTCCCAAATCAGTGGCTCAGGAGAAATAAAGGGAGCGAGCGGAAACAGGAGGATAAGGAAGGTGTGAGAGGTGTTTTTTTTCCTCCAGGTTAAAACCCTAGACTCAGAGACAGTGATTTGGTTAGCTGCCCACTGTCTTCTTCTGTGAAAATATGTTCACGTCTGTTTAAGTAAAACAAAAGTAAAAACATCTTTAAAAATGTTATTTCTCAAACTTTGTCAGACTTTTTGGTGAGATTGTCAATAAATTTAGTCTACCAAATTCAGAAACACCTTTAAACTAACAGAAACTAGTTTCTGTTCCACAGCAATTGTGTGTCGAGTGACCTTATGACATATACTGGAAGGGCAAAGTAAAGCACTTTGAATATGACCATGAATCAAGTTTTCAAACAACACTCAACACTGAAATCCTGTTGGTGTTCTCTGGCTTTTTAACATATGATGCACAGATGTCAGTCGTTCATCTTACATGTTTACAGATGCTTGTGGGATTCTTGAAATTGAGTTATGAGGACTGAAATGCTTTGGGTAAAAGTGATCTAAATTTAGCCAGAAATATATGTGGATAAATGAGGGTTAGGACTAAGAAATCACGTCTCATGCTCACGGGTTCTGTTTTTGTATGTCTAAGTAAGCAGAGGCTAACAACAAACGACAAACTAGGACTCTGGATTCTGCTGTATTCCGTCTGATTTTCTAAAATTATGAATTAGATTTACCGTGATGAGAAATGTTTCTTGGTGGAAATGATTTCTTTGGAAATCCTGCATTTCTAATGAGATGAGTCGCACACGGGGGGAGAGGTCAGAGAGGGCAGGAGGAGGACGGAAGCAGAGCGGGAAGGCGGGAGCCTGGAGTTTATGGTAAACGGCCACTAACGACATAACTAGGTGTCCTAATTGGTCAGGGATGAGTGTGTGTGCTTTGAGTGTGTGTTGGAGAAAGAGAGTGAAGGCCTCCAATGAAAACAGCTGTCTGCTTGGCTTCTTAACGCGAGGGTGGGGGGGCAATAGGTCAGTGGAAGCCCCCGTTCTCCAGCTAAGCTGTCTGAAAACCCACACATACACACATTTCCCTGTCTCCTTCCCATATGGGAACCCAACCCAGTCGGTCTTTCATGTGGTTCTGGGCTCCATAAGGCATGGGAGGGGGGGAGTGCAACTTCAGAAGCAGGGAGGTAACAGTTAAGCTCCAAGCTGCACTCCTTGCCACTCTTCCATGTCCCATCCCTTTGTTTTAGCTGATTTTTTGCACAAGTTGGGGTCCGTATTTTCTTTTTAGAGTCTGCAGCAGTGATTTGTGGTTTGGACTCGGCCCCGATAGTTTCCACTTTGCTGCCAGAGTCTGGGTGGAGCGCTTTGCGTGTAGTTGCCTAAGTTTTGCCACATGTGTGGTTGAGCAATTAAAGGTCGCACCCCAATACTTTATGAAAGACTTTTTTTTTTTTTTTTTTGCCCACTCACTCAAAGCAGCGATGTAATGCGTGTGGACAGGCATCTTCTAGCTGTGGAAGGAGGCCCGCAGCTGCATAAAGACGACCTGAGCAGCAGCTCCGATTTTACACTGCTGGAGCCGCTTGTTGGATTTGGAATTGTTTTCACACCAAGTGTATTTTAGCCTCTCTCTGCCTCCCCTACTCCTCCTTTTTTTAAACTCTCCTCCCCATCACCCCGTCTTACACAGAAGCCCATTGTGTTTATCACATCTTACAGCGACCTAAAGCCTGGCCCACACAGCTGGAAACATAGAAGCACCACCAGTCATACTTTTGTGTATTTATCAGTATTTTTCTTTTCTGCTTCTTCTTTATGTCGGGCATTTGTTTGTGGCTCGCAGCGATACCATTAATAGAATTAAGTCGTGTTTCAGAAGAATTCTGCTGTAGATTTGCAGGAACGAAACAACATTTGTTTATGCGCAGGGACCAAATCCTGTCCATGAGTTGGGTGTTCGAGTTTTCTGTTCATCCAGTCAGTCAAGCTAAACTGAGAACTCTGATTTTTGTTTGCTCACAAGTTTGCTCTTTGCTCTTAATCTTGTTTCTCGCCAAGTGAACCCTGATAATGTCAATGATGGTAACAAACAGTTATTAGTTTCCCTGTCTAATTTGACTAATTTCATTAGTTACTTTATTGGCCTGTGTGCATGTTGTGTCAACATGGTGAAGCCACTGAAAACCGCTGAACTTGACAGCAGCTTTTTAAAGTCACTCAGGGTTATGAGTATAATCTTGTCTCTGTGATTGACAGCTTTATACACGTAGCACACTGCTCTGCCAGCAACGCTTCGTTAAAATAAAAAACATTAAACGTTATCCCAAATAATTCACGGCTCTATTTAACAATACATCATGCAGGTTAAGTGAAACATGGCTGCCTCCATAGTGTCCTCAGCCAATGATGAGCGCATGTTGACACTGAGATATACTTATTACATATTAATTTTGACTAATGATAGTCCCTTAGGGTAAAAAAAAGCCTGATATCAAGATTAGCCTTTTGTACAACCCATGGAGCTTTTTTGACATTACAATAAACAAACCCAGAACTTGATATAGAGGTTAATGCTGATATGGGAACGCCTCAATATGAAAGAAATGGAAAGAGGTGGATGGGAAGAGGGAAGTCTGATCTCAGGACAGTTGCCCCAGAGCCAGATAAGCAGCAGGAATTGACTGAAGAGGTTTTTCTTTCCTTTCTTCCTACTGAAGACAATTTGAATTTGTCATAGCTGAGACACCAGTGAGTGAGCCAACATGCACAATAGCAGGACCTTGAAACCGAAGCTGCTGAATAGGGTCAGCCATCATTCATTTAGTCAGTCCCACCTTTAATCTGCTTGTTATCTGACTATTGTGACTGTTTTAGAGTTGGATTATCACGGTTGCCAAGTCATTACTGAGATTTTCTGAAAACTTGATGTTTGGGGCATTTTATGAGGAATAATGTAAATAAATATATTTAATTGATTAAAAGTAAAATTTTCCTCCCTGCTTGGAAAATACTGGGACTTTTCTTATGGAAGGATTTGCCCCTCATGTGTCTAACACACTCTCCTGTTTGTCATGAAAGCCTGGTCAGTGAGCCGTGCCACTGCGCAGCCCTGACATTTGAAAATACACTCTGATGCTGTCATTTCTCAGCAGTATTCCACCCCTGATTCTGTCCAGACGCATTCTGAGTCTGACACACTCAAACTGCCGCCTCATGGCACAGCCGGCCTCAGCTGTAACGCCCCTCCGCTTACAGCTTGTTGTCACTTGTTTTTGTCTACTCATTGTCGCGTGTTTCCCTTTGTTTGCCCCCGGGGTTTCATGTCATTCTGCAGGATCCCATGTTTAACGGTTGGGTCAAACCCTGGTGCCAGAAAGTCCCTGTCATCCTTTGACATGGTTGATTTTTCTCACGCTGCGAATGAGCGTGAATTTGACATCAAGTGCTTTGGAGTGGGAGAAGGAGCATGGTCTCACACACACACACATGCGCACACACACACAAACTGTGTGAAAGCAGTTGCAATGTGGCAGTGTTTTCAACCCAGCGTTCCAGAATCTATTTGAAATATGCCTTAATGGTAGTTGGTGTGTTCAACACTTCCAGGCGTTTTGAGGTTTTTTTCTGTCTTCTGAGGTTTCTTTCAGTGTGTGGACAAGGGAAGATGCAGTGACAGAAGAAGGCAAAGCACAGACTGAAAACCAGGAGGATTTCTTTGGTTTGGCTTTTAAAAAAAATCTTTTTAAAGTGAGTACTCAGCTGTTCCGGTTTTGGCCTTCAGCGCGTATCAGATTGTCGTCATGTACACTCCAGCATGGACAGACAGTTTCCAGTGGTGTGAGAGAGGAAGGACAAAGGTGCATTCATGGATTAATAGAGCAATGAGTGCATAGTGTCCTGAAGAAAACTAGATTTGAGAGTTTCTAATACTGACTTAATCAGAAATGTGTAAACTGGAGGGAAGACAGATCAATAACAATCTGTAGTATTTCTCTGTGTGAATCAACATAGATAATTAAAGCACTGGCAGATCCCCCTTCACAAGGTTTGAGTGGAAAAAGAGGAAAGAATGTTACAGTGACAATGTACATTTTCTGATTAAATGTCAAATCTTTAGCTAAAAAATGTACACTTTTTAAAATGACCTCGGCCACTTAATTTTTCCTTAAACTCCCACTGGTCACATTTCCTTTTATTTAGTTAAGCCTCCTGCCACTCTACACATCAGTTCATCAACCATGAACCAAACCTTTGTCCACCTGGCATGTCCCGGCATCCTGTGGGAGATGGCGCTGTCACCTATATCCTGTCCTACTTCCTGCCCCTGCCGCCATTCTCCCCGCTCCCCAGAACATGGACACTTTGCTCGAACCTCAGAGGAAAAAAACGCCCGTAATCGGACAGCTGTCTCATCCAATAGCCTCCCTCGGATTGCTCTTTGTGATTGTCCGCCTGTCAAGCCACAGGATGTGACACGTCTCTCACAGTCGTTTCCTGCTGGATTTGGAAAAGTCGACCAGCAAAGATGAATTTGTCTGCGGAAAGGGGTTAGCCAAAAGGTTTCCGCATGCTTAGCAGGTTATGATTAAAGCAAACAATAAACAGCGTACGGTGTCGGAAAGAGATGCACATGCATAATTACCTCTAAACACAAGGCACAGTCACATTAGGCTGCTTCAGCGCTGGAGAGAAGATGAGAACACAGACGAGAGCTGGAAGGCTGAAAAGGGCTGAGTAACAGAAGAGAAAAGGATGCTGGGAGATTTGAAGCTCATGAGGAAGGGCAGAAATCTCCCTTGTCTGCTTATTGTTTCCATTTCTAGGAGGAGCTGAAGAACGTAGAAACAAGTTTTCCTTTCCCAAACTGCATCATATCATGTGAAACCTGCACATTCTCCAGGGTTGAGTGCTCAGGAGTTTAGCCCCACAAATACCCTATTTCTGAAGTGTGTACCAATGACCCCCAACTTGATAACTCAAAGGGGCTTGAGGACCTAGTATAAAAGAGTACGGGCCATGCTACACTGCCTTGGCAACAAGAACCTATGTCAGATAGCGACCGCATCACCGTAGCAACCCTGGAGGTTCGGGGGTCACCATTTAGGGGGTCCCCTTGAATGCACCTCTCCCCCTCACACACACGCCCCTTTTTATTCATGACAGGTTTTTGATTGGTTAGCATGTGTGTGTGTGTGTGATGGGGGTGCTCTTCAGTAAGGCAGTGCAGAGGTTGCAGAGGCTGATTTGTGCATGTGTCTGTCAGCGTGCTTGAACAACTAATTCTGAGAGTGAAATCATTTTTATGTGGGAAACATTGGGGCTGAATGTTGTAGCATGCATGCAACAGCATAGTTATCAAATACCAATATGCCTGTGAAAGGGATTTTAACCAAAAAGCAAAGGAAGAACCCCTATGCAGGTAGGTGTGTTTCAATGTTTGTGTCCCTCTCTGTGCGTGTGTCCTCTTGGTGGAGGCATATGCGAAATGAACAATTAGAAAGGTTTGATTTTAAAACCAGAAGATTACTCCAGTTTTATTGTTGAAAATGGAGGAGTCTTTGATTCTCCCTCTGAGTTCACACCATCTTGTAGCAAACAGCTGAGGGGTAGAACGCGAGCTAAAGTGGAATAATAAATGTGTGAACAGAACAGTGTGAATTGGAAAAAGAAAGGAGGGGGTGACAGATACAAAACCGGTGGTAATCAGCACATTCTGCAGAGTGGGCTCTAAGCTTGCTGTGTTCAGGCCGATGATGAGCTGGGTTTCATACAGAGGAGGGAATGGAAGCTGATGGACACACAGACGGACATTTCAGCACAGGTGATTTATTTATTTTTTAAAAAGTTCTATAGTTTGAAGATGCTGTGCAACGACAGTCAGTGTATCACCGTAAAAGACAAAGAGGATTCAATGCACCGCTTCAGCACCAGCCAGAACCTTTGAAAATGATGTATCATAGGGATGTTTGCAGTAGGAAGTTTTAGTTTGGAATGGGCTTACCTGTTATTTAACCTGTTTTCCTCACTGTTGACTGCGTTCAACAAATCCAGTTTTCCTTGTTCGATAATAAGGAGTCTTTGTCTGAACGGGACGTTCCGCACGGGTAGCCCACAGCGGGGGATCCTGTGTTCCAGATGTGCTCTGGCTGCTGCAGGTTCTGTTGCGTTTAGGTGAGGGGAGTGAGCGGGGGACAGGATGTGATGCTGCCCTTACAGTGACAGCTCAGGCTTCAGCTTAGCAACTGCTCCTACTGGGAATTGGTTCTCTCGTGTTAGCCGGTCTCTTTTTTTTTTTACTCCTTACATTGTTTATGCGTCGACTCATACACTAATTCTCAGACGACGCACCATCTTACCACTTTTAAAAGAGATAGTTGGCTCAGAGGAAAATGGATCAATAGTGCAATTCCTCACTGAATTGGTATTTTCCAACATATCTATTGAATCTAAGTCCCCAACCAACAAACGCCTTCTCTTTGGCACATTGATTTTGTTTGTCTGCACACACACACAAAAACTCAAAACGCAGATCTCCACCTAACTAACTACACAGCCGAGGTGCAACTTTATCAGCACACTCATTTATTTGCAGCCTCTCACGTTTTCTTTTTCATTTATTATTAGCAACCCTATTTTCTCTAGTGTTTGTCTTTTATTCGCACATGATTCCATGGTTTATTTCACACACAGTTCAAAATGTATTTACATCTCCAGTTTGTTTAGTGGTTGGATTTAGAATATGATCTATACTGTTTGTTTTTTTTAAAGAAAGAATATGGGTTTCCTCAGCAGTCATAAAATGAACTTCAATTATCTTCTATTCACTACCAGTCAAATGTTTGGATGCATCCACTCATTCATCATGTATGAAACTTTTGACTGGTATTTTAACTCAGTGTCTTGTTTCTTAATGAGTTTGATTAATTTGAAGACCTTTTTTTCTAAAATTGTTCTCATGTATTTGTTCTGTAAAAGATTTTCTGCGGTGTGAATCACTGCTCCACGTCTCCCCCGCCCAGCTTGCCCTCTGTGATCCTGCCTCAGTTCCACCTCCTCACATCAGTCTTAATGGCTTCGCTAAGTAATGAGTCACGTCAGAGCGAGTGCTTTTTGAATGGGCCCTGTTATTGTTCATTCCCAAAGGTTCAGTGCTCATGTATGTTATTCAAAAAGCACTGGAAGTGAAAGAAATCTTTACAGAAGTCTCTCGTTACTGTTAACTTTAAAACTTTTCAACTTTTTTTTTAGAAGCTTATTTCAGATGCAAATTTTGGTCAGAGTAACGTGTCCACATGCTTTTTGTGTAAAATTTCTTTCAGTTATTTTTATTCTGGTGTCACAAAACCGTGTATAAAGCCCCTTAATTGACGAAAAAGTTCCCTGTGTCAGTCCGCTGCTTTAGATTACAGATTTAATGAGCTGATATTTTTGTGGTTTGATCCTTTCCTGGTCTCTTTCCTGCATGTCAATAAGTCCTCAGACAAGATGCTCATATCTTATATCACCTTAAGCACAGAATTTAAAGAGTACCTATCACTTGGTTTGTGTCACCTATAAAAAGCTTTCCATTTAGAGGAGAAAAGTGCTTAATAAATGGAGTCAGCTTGGTTTCTCCCTTTGCTCCTTTCATGCAGATGTAGGCTTACCTTTGTGAGCCTGTTTGGAGACAGTTCCACTCTTAACTCCTCTTTCCCTCTGCCCTAAAATCCCACTTCCTACAACAGAAGAATCGTTTGCATTTGCTAAATTGTGCCTGTTTATGTGGTTATTCCCTGACAAATTAAACTAAAGAGCCTTTTTGTCCCTTTTTTGTTTTTCTCATGACCGCCATTCCACATCTATCCAACTGTGACCCTTCCTCCACAACTCAACAGGTAAGTGCTTTATTTATTTGACACGGCCTGTCCTCATGTGGCTTAATGTGTGCTGATTTACAGCACTGCAGTTTTCTCTCAGGATCAAGATATTTTTAGAAAACTCCAGATGTTAACCTTATACGAGGAACTTTAACCCTCTGTGTTTTGACTGTAAAGCTAATTTCTCAAACATTTCAGATTGATTTACAGAGCTCATCAGCTCGGGGAGTTCGGGGCTTTACCCTTTAGGAATGTAGTGAAGGCAAGGCAAGCGAGTTGTGTGTTTGGAGTTGCAGTTCTTGGTGCTTTCATATGATTTTTTTTCGCAAGTAGTGGAAATGACCCAGAGGGTGTCTAACTGATGTGGGAACACAAAGTCAAGTAATGCCTGTTGTGTGTGAGTGAGATCATTATCTTCAGTGTTTTGTCAGTGCTATAGCATGCACAGCCCTCAGGCGCCGTTCTGTGTTCCTCAGTGCGCAGCGCATACACACATGAATCCATGGTCAAGCGCACTCTGATGGCCTTTGGTAACCGCCCACTCCAGTTATTTCAGCCCTGCCGTTTAACATTTCCTCGCTGTACTGCGCTGACCTGCTCTCACGGCTCTCTGACCCACATTCTCCACAGCAGTCCACCTCATCCTGCCGACAGCCCGCGACTCCGCATGACCTGTCCAAGCACTCAGATCAGACACTTAGACGTGATTTACAAGGTTTTTACAATATTTTCACATGGAAAAAGACTGTTTTTGTTAGGAAGTGGGACCTCCATTCTGGGAGCCTAAAGGTTTGGGAAGTGGACAAAAGGTCAGAGAGGTGTTGAGAGGATTCATCCTGTGTTTTCCAGGCAGTCATTGTAATTTCAGTGTTGTGTTTAGGTAGTCTCTGTCATTTCAAATGTTCATTTTCTTTATTGGGATAAGTCACATTGCGCACTACTATGTTGAACTTAATCAAAAGGCAACTTTTTGAGTGTTTCCTTTACCAGGCTTTGATTTGGTAATCAAACCAGTGATAATAATCTATTGTCTCATGTTCAAAGTTTTGAAATAAATCAAGTTCATGTAAAATCCCAAAAATTCGACTCATCTCTAAACAGAAATCAATAATAAATCCCCCAAGACCTGCTGTGATATACAAATATAGTAAAATATTTTCTTGAAACACAAATTTGAAGTCAATCCAGTTTGCATCATAATGGATCTGATCACTTAAAATTAGAATGAGGACTTCACAGCCACAGTGAAACATCCTGATTTCTGCATTCAGCAGAAGTTCCCATTAGTTTGAACTGATACAGTATCCTTGATTCCCAGAGACGACGACAATTCTTCGTTTTCCTCTTGCAGATGTCCATAACGGTTTGAAGTTTGTACATCTTCTGAATAGTCCTTTGGAAACATGTCTGATTTACATTCTTTTTGGCTACAAGCACTTCAGATTGGCTTCACTACTGAGGAGAAGGTTGCCTAATGGGCGGCCCCCTTTCAAACATAGCTGACCTTTCAGCCTACATTTTACTGTGGCCAGTAAGAGCAGCTTTTTAAGGCATGTTGGACCTTTGGCACTTAACTCCTCTCACTAAATCTGAGCGGTCACAAACTGTTACATGAAAATGTTAGTGATGAAGATTACAGAACTCATCAGGCCAATTAATTACTCTGAAGCAAATCCAGTTGTTGAGAAACAGACTTAAAACTTTAGAAACAAAAATGTGGAGTTTTAATGAGTGGCTGTGGTGTCTAGACAAGTGGGAGAGATCACCCTCACAGCTCCACAGTGCATGGCACCCGCACCAAAGATAACTATATTTACTGAGCAAAGCTGTACCCTACACTTAGCCATGTGAGTCAGTGTTAGAACATGGTCTGCTGATTTTATGACTGGACTTTTATTAAGGGTCAGGACAATGTGGAGGCTCCCGAATCCCAAATTACACTGTAGTTGGTAAAACCATCAGTGGTCAGGCTATCCTAATGGATAAAAAATCTCTCTTGAACTATTACCACACTTTTTTAAACAACACAGACTACGCAGTTTTAATTTCCCCTCTTCTTTAATGAGATTTGAGGATATAACTTTTGTGTGAACCACCGCATTTGTCTTTGAAAAGTCATCTTTTGTAAGGCAACTGCAGAGCTAGAACCTTCGGAAAAAAAGTCACTTCTAGATAACTTATTTTAGGAACTTGACCCATATGATGCGCTTACAGTTAAGGTTTTCATCCCCTGCTCTATTTATCTATAGTAAAATATCCAGGTTAAAGAGCATGTCCCATCAAATAAGAAAAAGAGTGACATTTTAAACTGACAGAAAGATTAAAAACTAAAGAATTTGCTACATAACAATCAAAATTATGTAAAGGATATTTTCAGTATTTTAGTTAGTGTTGATACGTCCCACAAAAACAGTAAAACAGTGAAGGAGTCGTGATAAAAAGACCAGGCAGACATTGTACATCTCCAGTTTGTCGACAATTAAGCCAAGTCTGCATTTTGGTCTATACTCTTAAGAAAAATCAGGTTCTCTTTTGGTCTTTGGGTGACTGTTTTTCTGTCAAAACCATGTTTCCTTAGCAACGAAAGAGTAGACAGCAACACACAGGTCAGCAACTCTCACCAGCATCCACGTTTGTTTGCATTTACTTAGAAGATCTTACAGATATTATGCAGGCTAAAAATTCTGCAGATGTGTTCTCACATGCCATATCTCAGGGACATCTAAAGAACATTCAGGGACTGCAGTGTGTGTATTAAAACGGCTTAAAATGTTTATCTGTTGAAGGCAGAAGCATGAGGAGCATTACTCTAAAGGCAAAGGTTAAAGTCTAAGTAGAACAGAGGTTTTTCCCAAGGATCTCCGAAACATAAGCCGATTTGGAAACGGTGAGGTGCCCTAGAGGAGGCGAGCGTACTATGAAAGCTGAGATACAATGAAAAATACACAATGCCAGTCCTCAGATG